GATTGCTGTAAGGGATCCCCTTTTCGGGTATTTTTATTATTGTTACATGGTACTATCAAGCGAATATATTACTTTTGTAAACATAACGTGAATTTTTATAAAGTATAAATTACCTCTAAAAATTCATTAAACTGGTAAAAATTAAGAGATTGATGATATCTCGCACTGGCAAATTTATATGTGGAGAAACAGCATTCATACACAGTTGGTAGGGAGGCAAATGTACGCCATCTTTTTGGAAAGTAATTTCTATTACTTAACGAAAATTTGAAAAAAGTAAGTATGCTTCCAACAGGCAATCTCACTTTTAGGAATTTGTGCTTCAGATACACTCACGGGACACAAGAATCTATGTGGAAGGATACTTCTTGTAGCAAGTGAAAAACTGAAAGCAATCTAGCCATAAGTAGGGGAATGATTAGCAACAGGTAAAATAGGTGAAAAAAGTAAATTGCTAAATATGAACAGTATGAATCATTTTTTATTAAAAGAAACAATATATGCTGGTATATGCACAGATTGATATATCTATGTTTGTTTATATATATATTTAGAAAGATCCTAGAAAGAATAAATAGCTAAACCATTAATGGTGAGAATGGGATGGAAGGATAATTTTAACTGTTCCATATTTTTCATTTTTTTTAAAGCAAATATGTTAACACTTCTATAATGAAAAATAAAACAAAAAAGGTTTTTATGGTGACAAAATGTAGGAAGGAGTCATAAATCACAGTAGAATTTCATTTTCCTACTGTGACTGTCACCCTGATGAACCTTCCTTCTTGTGAAATTCATAAATGAATTGAAAAGGTATAACCATTAATTTACTTGTATAATCACCCAAAGGGTCCAGTAAAAGCATAAATTTCTCTAGGAGAAACATTACAGAAAACATTAGTGAGCAAAAGGAAGCTATGCTTTGATATATATAAAAATACAAACCTCCATCTCTTTGGGATCAAGGTCTAGTTCTATTATTTAGGATTTTGGATGCAACAGTTACTTAGGACTCTGTTTCCCTCTCTCCAAATAAGGAAAACACCACTTACCACACAGGAAGGATGTATGACAAAATAAAATAATTCACATGAATGGGCTTTCAATTTCAATTCTTCAGAGAAGAAAGCTATGATCCTTAAGTATGAACCTGAAAAGCTAATTAAAAATAAGATGACCATGTCAAAATTAAGTCTGAAATGTAGTAGCCTAGAGGGGCTACATTAAACATCACTATTAGCTATTAATTCTACTCCAAATAACAGAATTTATACTGTGGCTGGGACTGTAGTATAAATGTAATGTGAGCAAACAAGCAAAATCATTTATTAATGTTAATGTCAAAAAATAATTTAAATAGGTTTTTAGCATCATGTTGACTTGATAAACCTGAAAATATTGATGTAAAGTGATGATATTCTCTTGTTGTTTATCTTTAAAAAATACATTTGAAGCTGGCTGCTCAAAAGATATACAATCACTGAATAATAATAACTATAGGGTACTGATATTGGAACAATTAAAATACAGTTGAACACACGTGTATGCAAGGGGGTTATTTTTCTGGTGTATAAAATAATCTGAAACTAGCTAATTAAAGTTTTGAAGTCTACAAGTAAAGTAATAAATGGCATTACCCAATATTTACTCAGCAATATATGCAAATATTATGCTAAGTACCAGAAATTTTAAAAAAATATTACATTTAATATGCATGTCCTAAAACTAGACTACAAACTATGGCCAAATAGTTGGGAGGACAAGAAATCACGAAGTTAATTAATGAGTATTATCTACAGCTAGTTCTATAATATAAGTAGGAATTAGATAATGCACTGAAAAGGGGGAAAAGGGGACCTTGGAAAGATATCTCAACATTTTAGTTATTTATAGCAGCTCACATTTTCTTATACAGTGGTCATCACATCTGACTGGAGGTTTACAGAAACCTTGGGAAGAAGGCAGGGCTGATGTTTGGTCCTTATTTTAGATGAGGAAAATGAAAGTTGAAGAAATTAGGCAAACTTGCCTAAGTTCACAGTCAGGAGGTGCCAGAGCTAGAGGCTGGCCAGTCTGCCAACTTTGTCCAGAGCTCATTTCTACTACATTACATTTTAAGTTACCAATACTAAAATGAGAACTAGATGGGAGCTCAGAAATCTAATGCAGTGTTTCTCTAACCAACCTAATAAAAACCTTTCTAAGGCCTGCATTCCTAGGTTCCACTGCAGACCTACTGAATGATAACCTCTGACAGATGTTTCGTACTTTTACAAGAGTCCCAAGGGGTGATTCAAGAGATTAGCTAAGCTTGGAAAACACTGTTCTGTATCTGCATGTCCAAGGTGGCAGACATCGTGGTTATTTAAATCAAAACTGAATAAATCAAATTAAAAACTGGGTGCCTCAGTCACTAGCTACATTTTGGGCCCTCAACAGTCACGTGTGGCTAGTGGCCACCATATAGATGGCACAGATAAAGGACATTTCCAGCATGACAAAAAGTTCTATTGGACAATGGTGATTCTATATCAGCCCTTCAACTCGAAGGATGAGAAAACTGAGGCACAGGATCTCGTTCAACATGAGTTGTGAAGCTAGTTAGTGGCAGAATTGAAATGCTAACCTAGTCTGCCAGTGCCCTTTACTATATCACTTCATCCCACGCCAAATTCAATGGGAGGGCAAGGAGAAAAAAATTTTTAAAAATAATACATCTACTTACCTCTCCTCTAAAAAAAATTTTTAAAAATTCAATTGGGAATTATTTTCTTTCCACTCTATCTTATGGGTTGCAGCAAAGCAAGAAATTATAAATTTGTGGGGAAAAAAATCCTAAAAAAAAGACTTATTTAGAAATCATGATTAAATCCAAGACAACCTGCAGTTCTTGTATAAGGTTAAAAGTAGCCTTTGATGGTCAAGAATCCACTAGTGTTAAGAAGCATATCTTAGCTTGTTTTAACTAATTATTAAGTCTCTTCTCGTCTTTTATCTTGATGTTTTTATCTTTCTTTTGGATTTGAAACACTGAAACTAATGGTATTTTTAAATGGCTTATCTTAACATTTTAATTGTGAAAAAGTTAAATCTTATTTACCAAACATTTTAAAGATAAAAATCGAGAAACAAGGAGTAACCAAAAGAAGAGTGACTTGTCTAATTTAGGATGTGGTCACTCAAAGCACTGAGCACTCTTGGCTTTTAGTAACCTAGTGGTTTAGTATTTATGACATTAATACGTTGTTTTCACTTCTAAGCTACAGTTTTACCTTCCTTTGGCTACTATGTTATGTTTAAAACAATTTAAATTATTTTATTTTAATTTCCAATGTAACTGAGGATTCAAAGCATCTGAACATCTAAGGTTTAGACACTATTCAGGTCAACATATAACCGGCCATAAAAGTATATAATAGTGTCCTCTTTAAAAATAAAACCAGTCATTCCTGTCTAGTATGTTTAGAATGCAAATGTCTCCGAAGTCCATCAACTTAAGTCATTACAGTTTATGTTTAAAGGGAGCAGGGATTTGGAACTCCACATTAATTAAAACTGTCCAGACAATTACACAGCTCTATTAACTTTTACCAGTACCTAGTATTCATTCTCATGTTTAACTTTAGTGACTAGATTTACAGAAAATATCGTATGTCAAAGTTTGTGCAAAATTAAAAATTGGAAGAGTTAAAAAACATGGCCCAACATAAGATACTTATAAACAGATACTTATTCAAGACAGTTTTTGCTATAATTTGCAAGGCACCCATAAGCCTGGAGTATGGGGTTCTATATAAATAGAAGCTACTTGTTATTCAGAGAAGGAGGTGGTGCAAAAAAAAAAAGCTATTTTCTTTCTAAACACTCATTGGTGTTGAGGTAAACAAACAAGAAAAAAAAAGCACAGTGTAAGCACATCAGAGCAGAGCAAAAGTCATAAAACAGGGGAAGAAAAAAAAAAGTCTGTGCTCTAACATTTTAAATAGGGGGCTGAAAGTTTAAAATAAAATTTGTTCTCTGGCTTTTATACCAGATTCATCACTTACACATTTTATCTGTTGTCTTAACTCCCACTTCACCATTTTAGGAAGAGGAAAATATGTGCCCCCAAGATTCCTATGCCAATAAAATTACTTTTGGAAGCGCCATAGCTCACCAAATGAAGAAGAACATTGGAAAAACACTAAGTAACAAAAAGACTGAATTGCCTCCACTACCGAGTGATAACTATAGGTGCACAGTAATGTAAGGATCATGAAAAATACTGCAAACTCTAAACAAATATAAAGTGTTGCAAAAATTTCAACTTTCACAAAAAAGTTGGAAAAAAAAAAGAAAAATAAATGAAAACATTGCAAAGGAGGGGCACTGAGAAGGAAGCCCAGCTAGACAGAAAAGCAGATGTCAAAAGGGGGTGGGGGTAGTAGTGCAGTTCTTCTGATCGTCCCTCTACCAGGAGGTGCTTCTAACAGCTTCAATACAATCTCCAGGACACAATTTTAGGCATTCTTAGGGAGACTGATTAAGGAAAACAAGAAATGTGCTTTGAGACAGGAGTACTACAGAGATAATACTGAAATTTCTAACTTCAAAAAGATGCATTAGTGGGAGAAGACAGCCATGAACTCCCCAGACCTTAATTCCCAAGCTTCCTGTAGAAAAATATCAACCATCCTCAGACATAGAAGCCAGCACATTCGAAAAGATCCAGCAAAGTTTTCAGCTGGCCCTCACTATCTCTTAGAATCTCCTTCCTCCACTTCCCTGCTGTTCTTTCCTGGCACACAAAATATAGGCCAATGAGCGGTGGGTGGGTGAGGAGGATGTGAGAGAAAATTTGAGAAGTAAAAAGGGAATCAACTTAACAAGGACATGAATGAGACGAGAGTCCAGTAAGGGTAGGCAAACAATAATCATAACAGCTGAACGGAAAGGGCTTCCTTGGGCAGCAGTGAGCGCTCAGTATTTGCAGGGGTTTAGGCAAAGCCCAGGCTACCTACCACTTGTCAGAGAGGCTGCAGAGGGGACGGCCGCTTTGGGTGACCTCTAATGTCTCTTCCGACTCTGAAATGTCAGGATTCTTATTTCACAAAAGAGAACTCAACGGTCATAAAGCCCACCGACTTTAAATCCTTTTAAATAGGCGGCCCCGGCAGCTGCCTCCCAAACACCACTCCCACCTCTCCCTCCCACACGTGCCCACCCCGCCCCCTTTCCATTTTTCCACCTCCACGTGCGAAACGCCTCGCGGCAGTCGCCCCACAGCGGATAGGCGCCTTCCCCTGCAAAGCACCAAAACTCTGCCCCCTTGGGAGAAGTGAGGACTCCATTCCCCCACCCTGGGCGGCCGAAAAAGGAAGTCTCAAATCCAGCCTTTCCCCCCAGCCAGAGCTGAAGGGGGAGGGGAGGCGGGACGAAGAGAAAAACTTTCTTCTAAAATTTTTCCTTCAGAAGTCGGAGGGATAAAGAGAACCCCGATGAGTCGAGGAGTGAGGGGGGTGGGGGGAGGGGAACCCCCAATCGTTTAACGGCCGCCAGGGGGAGGGGGGGTCCGGAGGTTGAGGGGGCGTGGGATGGAGAAGCAGGCCGGGGAGCAGGGTCAGGGAGCTGCAGGGGTTCCTGGGGTCGGGGAGCTGCAGGCGCCACCCCCCCACCTGGCACACAAAGCAGCTGCCGCGCTCGGCTCTCACCAGATCCTTTGTGTTTTCCATCAGGGCCTCATGGGTAGGGGCTGTCCGTGCTCCCCGGGCTCGCGGCGCCCCCTCCCCGAGCTGGGGGCAGGCGCCTCTCCCTGGGACTACGGCGACTACACGGGGGCCCCAGCTGGGCCCAGACCGGTGGCGGCTGCGGCAGCCCCCGGATTTCCCCCCTTTAACTCGGGTGGCCCCAGGATATCAACAACATTAGCATAGCCCTCCCTCCCCAACGCGCCTGCGCCGTGACCCGCGCCCCGATTGGCCCACTTCCCTACTTACCCTCCTATCTGTCTTCCAGCGTGGGACCCTCTGCAGGCTCCGTACTCCAAGGGCCGTACCAAGACGCAGGGGTGGAGAAGGCAACTGGGGCTCGTGTAAGTCGAGTGGTTAAGGGGTCAGGAAGAAGAGTAGAAGTTTCATCCTGTCGTCTCAGTTTATACCCTGGCTTTATCGTGCTCCGTTCAATCAGTTACAGCTGCGAAGTTGTGCTAGGAAAAATTTTCCACTCCAGTCACGCCGCTTCCCCCTCCACCTGGAAGACTGGTCCCGCCGGAGGAACTCCCACACGGGGAGGGGCTCGTGAGGGGAGTGGGCGTTACGCAGGGAAGCGAGTGCTGGTCACGTGCTCAAGGACTGCGCAGGCGCCTTCCGCTCCCCCCGACCCCGCGGCTTCGTCCACAGCGGAAAGCCAGGGCCCCGGCGCAGGCGCAGTGATGTTCCACGTGAGCGCCTGCGTTCCTTCTCCAACCTGAGGATGCTGCTGAAACGGAGAAGCGGAATGAGACCGGACCCGAGAGCAGGAGTGGGGCCGGCCGGGCCGGCCCGAAAGCCTGCTCTTTCATCCCAGCGGAAACCGCCGGCACTGCCTCGGGTAGCGGCCGCTTGGGTGGCAGTCGCGGCGGAGGGGAGACGGCTCCGGCAGCGGAACCGCCTGACGCTGGAGAAGGACAAGCGGGCCGTGGAGCGGTGCCTGGAGGAGCTGGTCTTGAGGAAGGCGAGGACGCGCTGCTGCGGCGTCTGCAGGGCCCACAGGTGAGGGAGGCCGAGGCGCGCGTCCCGGGCGCCCGGTGAGCGGTGGGCCTTCGGGGGCGGAGCCTGGGCGACCTGCGGAGCCGGGGAGCAATCAGGTGGGAGGGAGCCGGGAACGCGGGCGTCGAGGGGTGCCAGATCAAAAGTCTCCGGAGGGCGGAGGCCGCGCCTTTCTCCGTCCCCGAGGGAGCGGCTAAACCTCGTATGCAGCAGGCGCTCAGTACATTTATTTACCGAAATGTAGTTGTGAGCATCTTTTCGTAGCTCAACCTCACAGTCTTCTCCCTAGGCTCAGTGTTTCTTCCCTTTTGGCCGTTCTGTTGCCTGCCTCAATACATTGCCGTGATTCAGAGGTTCCACTTGGTTTGTGGAATGAGAATTCGTGGGCACGGGCCTGGGAGTCTGTGTTTTAATAGCCTCTCAAAAGTAGTTGACTGGTTAGCTTTTGAGAACGACTGTGTTCAACAAATATTTGTGAGCCTTCTTAGTGCCAGATTTCATTCCTGGCAATGAAATCCCTGCGTGATTGATTGTAAGTTTTTTGATCCCTTTTTTGTTCTTTTTTATCTTATACTTGGATTTTCTTCCACAATGGGGAGTCCCAGGCATTATTCTGGTCGCTGGAAAAGAAACAAATGGATGAAAACTGAAAAAAATCCCTGCCGTTTCGGAGGTTATGTTCTAATAGCAGAGGCAGAAGTTAAAGTTCAAGTTTGTTAGTGAAGGGCTGAAGAGAGAGAGAAAAAAAGGCATTTGAGAAAGGGAGATAAGTGTGTGTAGAGGTATGGCCTGTGAAATTTTTCATAGGGTTGCCAAGCATAGCCTTACTGAGAATACTCAGTTTGGTAAATGACTGCGGACCTAGGAAGTATCAGTGGATTGCCAGACCACCTTTGGGTGCCTATGGGAGAGGTTACAGAATCTAGTTGGGAGATAGAGAAATATGACTGGGAAAACGCTGAACCGTGTGACAAGTTTCCTAGTCAGAAAAAGAGCCAGTCTAAGTGAGGTGGCGTTTATTGGGCTCATAGGCCAGTAGTGGAGCAAATAGAAATCGTTTGAACATTTCTGTTGGACAGTTTTGGGAAAGCTTAAGTTCACTTCATTCGAGGTCCAGTTCCGTCAGGGGGTATTCTGTGGTCTGGATTTTGTTTTGATTGTGTAGTTTCTTAGGTAGGGGATCAATTTAAAAAAATGGGGAAGAGATACTATAAAAATATGAAATATGATTTAATTATGACAATCATTTTATATTTGATGGCAGTCTGTCTCTGGTCCAGTGATTTCTGTAGTTATGTGATTTTTCCTGCTCCTCTTTTTCCCCTCCTCTGTCAGCTTACCTTTTGTTCTTATCTTACTTGGTCTTTTTTTTTTTCTGGAAAGGCAACCCACCCCCATTCCCATATATATTCTTTTGCAAAGTTTTCTTTTTTTTAACTTTTTTTATTGATTTATAATCATTTTACAACGTTGTGTCAAATTCCAATGTAGAGCACAGTTTTTCAGTT